TCCCGCATCCCAAAAATCCCCAGATCCCAAAAATCCCCAGAATTATCCCAAATTACCCCAAATCCCGCGGGATCCCAGGAATTGTCCCAAATGATCCCAAATGATCCCCAAAATCCCCGGATCCCGAGTGCTGCCTGACCCCGCCCCCGGTGACCCCAAATCCCAAATCCCGGATCTGAAACGATCCCGAATCCCGCTGGATCCCCCCCAAAAAACAAGGAAAAAATCCAGATTTGGGTCCTGGAAGGGGAAATCCGGGCCCTGGGGGGATCTGAGGGGTCCTGGCAGGGGAAATCGGGGTCCTGAGGGGGGAATGAGGTCCTGGCAGGGGAAATCGGGGTCCTGAGGGGGGAATGAGGTCCTGGCAGGGGAAATCGGGGTCCTGAGGGGGGAATGAGGTCCTGGCAGGGGAAATCGGGGTCCTGAGGGGGGAATGAGGTCCTGGCAGGGGAAATCGGGGCCCCAAAGGCCCCAGCACCATCCTGGAGGGGCCCCAGTGTCCCCAAGGGGGTCCCTGCTGTCCCCAGCGCCCCCAGAGGTGCCACCCCCACTCCGGTCGCTCCCATCCCGCACAAATCCCGCTTTATTCCCGTTATTTTCACCTTTTCCCGCTTTTTTCCCGCTATTTTTTACGTTTTTTCCGCTTTATTCCCTTTATTTTTCACCTTTTCCCGCCGTTTCCGCCCCCGTTGCCATGGCGACCGTTCGGGCCCGTCCCCATGGTAACGCTGCTCCCGCCCCCTCGCCGCGTTCCCATTGGCTGTCCCGCGGCGTTCCGCGAGCGCTGATTGGCTGCGAGCGGCAGAGGGCGGGAACGAGAACCCGGAAGCACCCTCACTCGTTGCCATGGCGACGTTTCCATGGTAACTGAACTCCTCCCCTGCCATTGGCTGCTGCGCTCTGGAACGAGCGCGCTGATTGGCTGCGGGCGGAAGGGGCGGGGCTAAGCGCAGAACCAGACAGGAACCAGTACGGAGTGAACTGGGCTGAACTGGGATGGACTGGGATGGAACTGGGAACACTGGGATGGACTGGGAGGGACTGGGATGAACTGGGATGGACTGGGAGGGCCTGGGATGAACTGGGATGGACTGGGATGGACTGGGAGCAGAGCCTGAGCTGGGCTGGGTGGTGCAGTGGTCACTCACAGGCCCGGCACTGGTCCAGACTGGTCTGTACCGGTCCATACCGGTTTATACCGGTCCGTACTGGTTTATACTGGTCCATACCGGTCCATACTGGTTTATACTGGTCCATACCAGTCCATACTGGTTTATTCCATTCTATACCGGTTCATACTGGTCCATACTGGTTTATACTGGTCTCATACCGGTCCATACTGGTCCATACTGGTTTATACCGGTCTATACCAGTCCGTACTGGTCTGTACTGGTCGATACCGGTCCATACTGGTCCATACCAGTCCACACTGGTCTATACTGGTTTACACCGGTCCATACCGATCTGTACTGGTTTATACTGGTCCATACCAGTCCATACTGGTCCGTACTGGTTTATACTGGTCCATACCGGTCCATACTGGTCCATACTGGTCAGTACTGGTCCATACCAGTCCATACTGGTCCGTACTGGTTTATACTGGTCTATACCGGTCCATACCTTTCTATACTGGTCCATACCGGTCCATACTGGTCTATACCGATCCATACTGGTCTATACCGGTCCATACCAGTCCATACCAGTCTATACTGGTCCATACTGGTTTATACTGGTCCATACCAGTCCATACCAGTTCATACCGGTCTATACTGGTCTATACCAGTCTATACTGGTCCATACCAGTCCGTACTGGTTTATAGCAGTCCATACTGGTCCATACTGGTTTATACTGGTCCCATACCGGTTTATACTGGTTTATACCAGTCTATACCGGTCCATAC